AAACAACTCTCAAATAAACAGCTGCTCCGTAAGCACGGCTGGAAGCGTCGACGAACCCATGTATTTCAACGAATTCAACGTCCGTCAATCCCACGTAGCGGGGGGAATCTTGATCATATCAATATACTTCAACGAATCTCTAAACGTAAGCCAAGACTGCAGAACTTCACCTTCCAATGAGTCATCCCAACCCAAACCATCTTTCCACAAACACTGCATGATTTCCTTTGCCAAAACAATCACCGGAGCAATAAGACCCAAACGATCAAATATTCGAGCAATCTCAGAGAGGACAACTCGCTTGGTTGAGATAGGCGACGACTGTAACTTCAATTCGCAATGGAAACGGAAAATATCCTCATCTGGATCCCATAATATACTCAAGGTTTTGATAACCTTGTTGACATCTGAAACCTCAAACTCTAAGAACCTTTCTATGCCTTCATCAGGTACTGTATCGAATATGGCTGGGTCACTTGCACACCATTTATGAACAGGGAAGCCTCCAGAGTTTAACAAGTTTATCAATTCCAAACGAAGATCAATTGCCTGCTCAATGGTATCGGCTCCTGATACCACGTCATCCATATAAACATCCTCTTCTAAAACCTTGGAAGCTATTGGAAAATGGTGAGATTCATCACGGGCTTACTGCAACCATGTTCGTGTGGCCAAGAATGGGGCACTGGCTGTTCCATAAGTAAAGGTTGTCAACTCTAGGATCTGAAGTGGGTCATCAGGGTTTTCCCTCAAATAAATCCTCTGAAGGGGAGAATGATCCTCAGCTATCTTGATTCGCCTAAACATTTTTGAAACATCAACCTTTAATGCAAAACGGTGTGTACGGAACCGCAGGTTTAGTGATAAAATGTCATCAAAACATCATTAAGAGATGAACCAGTTGTTCGAGCCGAGGCATCGAAGACAACTCTTAAACGGGTGGTGGAACTACTTGGTTTCAAGACCGCATGGTGGGGTAAATAGTGAACCAACTTCCCAGGGACATCATCTATTTCGAAAACTTTCTTACAATGGGATAATGATTTATACTCGTTGATGAAATCAACGTAAGCACCTTTCAAATCGGCATTCTTGCTGAATCGATGCTCCAGAATGAAGAAACGCTTTAGGGTCAACAATCGGTTATTACTTAGCTCACTTACAGATTCCTTCAACGGAAGGTGGACAGTGTAGGTACCATCAGGGTTTCGAACAGAAGTGGAACTGAAAAGCTGCTCACAATCTTGCTCCTCCTTAGACACGACATCCGCATCCTCAATGGACTCGACAGACCAAAATCTTTCCATACATTCTAATAGCGGACGTAGTGTGGCTGCATAGCAATGCTGATTCTGATCAATATCCTCAGCACCACCAGCAACAACCCATCCCAGACGGGTTTCCTTAAGAATTGGAAGATCGTTACCCAACATTAACTGTCCGGGTAGCATCAAGTGGAAGAATATTTGTATTCCAATCAAGAGATCAACTTGTCCGGGGATGTGGAAGGAAGGATCGGCAAGTGCTAAACCTGGGGGAATACTCCAAGAACGAACATCCAATTTTCTACTAGGGATAGGACCAGTCACCACATTGGTGACCAAACATTCAATCTGGGCTTCATAATCCATACAACGAGAACGGAACGAAAGCTTTACTTTCTTGTCCAACACTGATCGTTTACCAGTTGCTCCGACGACTTCAACATGGGTGGGAACTTCGTTGATTTCCAAACACTCAATCAAGGAACGGGTAACTAAATGTGGTTGGGAACCACAATCGAGGAATGTACGGCAGGGGTGAGGATTTCCACGGCTGTCAAGAACATCAACCATGGCCGTTAGCAAAAGCGTGCCATCCGACAAAGGAATCTTATGAATTGAGTTGGACAACGATGAAACACTTTCAATAAGAGGAATAACTTGGGAACTTGAGACAACTTGGTTTGGTTCAGGCTGGGGATTTAGCCCTTCAACTATGGGTTTAGGGCTATCAATGGGCTTTGAACTATCAACGGGCTTTGGGTTCTTGGGCTCATGAAGTTGTGTCTACATTAACACTCCTGGCAAGATTTACCTGAAGAGCATTTTGAAGCAAGGTGGCCCTTCCGCAAACAATTGAAACAAAGGTTAAGTTCTCTTACCTTAACTCTCCGCTGGGGTACCGTCAAAGAAACAAACCTGTCGCACTTAAAATTGGGATGATTTGCACTACAGACATCACATTTTACTTCACTATTAGCTAAGGGTGTAGCCATAGCGAATGACTTTGCCGGTTGGGGTTTTGAGTAGGATTTCAGGTTTGACTCCTTCGATGACTTCGGTTGGCTAACTTCGTAACGTTCCAACAATGAACATCGCTCCTTCAAAAACTTGATGGTATCAACATACGTTGGAATCTCATTATGGGGAATTGTTACTTCCCACTGCTTTCTCGTTTCCGGATTCAGTGCACCGGATAGGACGACAATAACGAACCTTTCGGAAACTCCTTCCACGTTCTACTCCAACAGCCTTAATCCTTCCACGTGGCGGGTTACCTCGTTCAAAAGCTCCCTCAGCTGCTTGGAACATTCCTTGCTCATCCGCTTGAGACTCAATAAGCCGTAGATATGAGAGTCAACTGCCTTTCTTTCATCATCGAAAACGTCAAGCAGTAACTCCCAGGCGTGGACGAAATCTCCATCACTGAGCGTCTTTGGGGCGATGAGTTTGGCAGCAGGACACCCTGCTAGTGCTCTTTCAAGGTGGTGTAACTTAACAGCGTTGGAGTCTTTGGACCTTGACATGACATCCGAAAAAACCACTTGCTGCAACCTTGGCCAATTTTCCGGTTTTCCATCGAAGGAAGGGATGGGAACCGGAAGTGGCTGTTGCTGAACGATTATTTGCGGCGGCTGACTACTCAAGGACTGAGACACGGGCACTACCACAGGAGGTGCGGTATTCGGGATCGAATCTTGAATTAAACTGTCCACCAACGCAGAGGTTTCAATGTGGAGGGATTCAAATTGCAAATACGTAGCGTCGTTTTCATCTATCTTCTCCGGTGGCAACAGGCCGGTGATTTGATGATGTAGTCTAAGGTATTCTTGAAAATGTGCCTCCAAATTTCGGAAACACACCCTTCAGCTATGCTAGGGTCAGCTGCATGACGCTGACTTCAGCCAGTTCTTCGATTGTTTTCCGAATTCTGGTCACTTTGGCTTTTGCTTGGCCCCGAAGCTGCACATTTTTGATCGTTTCCACTTTTTTTTTGTTCAGCCTAACTAGGCTAACTAACACTACTACAATGTTCATCCGAAACTTTTTCGGGCTTGTTTCTTCAGCCTCAACAGGCACACTAACTGTCCAACCGATACTTGTTCGGACGTTTCACCAGAGCCACAAAACTCTTCCTCAACAATCCATTCACACACGGGCAAACACACCGATACTGCTATCCGGGTCGATGGACCAAACTATGTGCGGTGCACATGTAAACGGAACCGGGGTGAAATTTAGCTAGGATGATCCAACTTGGAAAAACAACAAATTTCCAACCTACAGCGTCGGGGATAAAGGCAATAGGGTGTCCGGTATGGAAGTCGAACCGGTGTTCACACTAGATTACCACGGGTGGGGTCCAGTTGTGAATCCGATTGATCGGACGTCACGCTATTGACCTTCCTGTTGGCTCCAGGTGCAACGGCTAAAATGTGGACTGTATGGCAGCGATTATCAACAGCAGCGATCTTGTGCTCCAGTGGCAATGGACATGAGGATGAAATTATGCTCGTTTAGTGATGGTTTAAATATTAATTTATTTGATGTTTTTCGTTCGGCAGTTACAATAATAGTGATGCGCTTCGCGCGAAATGGTTTGCTTTTATACATTTTTCTTTTCTGTATTCGTACCGCTGTGTAAAGTAGACTTCTTGTTTTTGCGTGAAATTGACGATACTGGAAGGAGTCTGCTTCTCTTCACAACGGTGCAAATCGTTTATGTAGGGGAGTGTAGGGAAAATTTATACATCGATTAAACGTTCGGAACCGAAAAGAGGCATCATTCTGCACGCACAAACCTACAAAATGAGGGCTGCTCAGATTTTTTTTAAATGCTCGATTAAAAGAAATGCGTCAAGTTTAAGTCGACCAAATTTTGATCGTAACGCTCTTTAAATACGTTTTTTACCCAAAATAACGTATATATTAAATCTTTTAAAACCTGGAAACTTTTCATTGAAATCTGGAAAAACCTGGAAAACGCAGGGAATTTTATATAGCAAAATCAATAGACACCCTGATCCTGTATCTAGATTTACTTTAAAAAGGCGTTTAGCATCACTTTGACAATGAAAAACAAAATGACATCATTTTGAATGGAAGTTGCTAAAAGAGCATTAATGAAAAATGTGAATGACACAACGGAAAGACAATTTTTAATGGATGTTTCAAAATGCACCATAAGCTCAACATCTCCAATGAAATCAATTAACGAGCCCTTATCATCATTCTTTTAGTCCACCCTGTCCCCCATACTGTCAACCACGACCGAAAGCAGCTACAGAAACAATCACACTACCCTTTTTTGCGAGACGTCAACGATGCGCCTCCAACACGATAACGACGCCGAACAGCTGCTACTCGCTCCAAAGTAAAAGGATAATTCCCCCCCTCAAACACTCCTCTTCGCACTCGCCTCACTCTTCCGCACCCCACCAGCGCCGAATCGCAGTGACTTCGACACGTGGTTGACGACGAGAGTTTGCGATTCTTCACCAACGTGCTGGCGCCTTGCAGAGCTTTGAAAGTGCTTGGCGGCTTGGGTGTCTTCCCGCTGCCACGTTCTAGCTTAGCTCGCCCACAAAGTCTCAAGCCAGCAAGCGGAGCTCAATGCGAAACGTGCTCCTCGTCATCGTCGTCGTCGTCGTCGTTGTTGGGCGGTTGGGAAATTTGCTTCAAATTGACTTGCCGCTGGAAAATTGGAGTCAGTTAATATTTACACCTGGTGCGGTTCGGAGTTCGCGGTTGATGCACGGCCAGAGAAATTCGGACAGCGGGTTTTGGGCGATTATACTAGTCAGCCGTGGTTGCGATTTGGCATCTGTCGACCCGTGGGGTTTGTGTGTTGTTGGTATAGGTGCACGTTTGAAGTGATTTCAATTAAGTATGCTGATGAGCGGAGGATAATGTTGGCGGTCAATGCTGTTGACAATTATCCGGCAGTGCGACTACTACCGAGCTGAATACGAGAAGTCGAGGATTCTATTAACCCGACCCTTGGTGGCGGTTATGACGATGATGATGACGGTCAGATGGGACGTTGACGACAACGACGGCCCCGGTCGACAGCGCGCGGTCAGCCTGGGATCAAGGTGTAATTAAAAGAAATAATTAAACGGCGTGTGTCGCGCGTAACTTTTCGGTGCTTTGAGTGAAGGCGTTGATTTAATTGCTGCGTCTTGAACGTTACACAAGGATCCAGCAGGAAGTTATTGGAGTACGCAGGAAAGCAGGTGATATGGCCCCCGTGGTGCGAGTTGTGGCCATACTGCTGCTCGAGTTTGTGGCCACTTGTGTGCAGAAGGATTTTTCCGGAAGTGAGTTGCTCTCTCTGGTTGTTAATGATACGTACTAACACTGCTTAATTGGGATATGACGGCTTAATTGATTGTGCATTGCTGCAGTGCAAGGCAGGTCATGGAGGTTGTTATTTTTGATGCGAACGTTGTGCGTGGGAACATAATAGGTTTACTGAGATTAAATCATTTAAAAAATTTGAACAAATAAGAGAATGGATTCAATGTTTGTATCTCGCAATTAGTACTGAAATACTACTCGGAATATAAACTCCAGTATTCATTCAGATTCTTCTTTTGTATGACTTTTATGTCCTAAATACAAATTTACGCCTGTTTTCAACGTGGTGTTCACGGAGTACTCTCACAGCTGATTTTTTTAAACTCTGAAATTTGTTCCGAGTTCAAAATAAATTACATTCCATTTTAATCTAGGTGCTCTCAGAAATTTACCAGCCAAAATTTCAATGATATAAATCAAAGTGTGTTTACATTGTTCCTGCTTTGGCAATTCAGTATTTCAAACAGTATAAAAATTGTTATGTTAAAACTTAAACTAAATCTCATCTAAACATTGAGGGAATTAATTGAGGATTGCAACGATTATATTATTTAAGAGCTGAACCAGTCTAAGGCTAAAAATCTCCTAAATAAAGCTTAAAAAAAAGAAAAAGATTATATTATTAATAATTCTTTTGTTGGACATTTGTTCTTAAGTCTCAACATTCGAACTTCTATGTACCTCGGTAGTACTGTACCAGGGAGGCAATTTCAAAATCATCTTCAGAACTTTGTTATGAATCCTTTGAAGTACTTTTTTTTCCTGGAAGTGCAACAACTAGAACATATTGGCACAGCTTTACATGGCCGGTCTAAAAACTTGTTTTAATATTAGAAGTTCATTCTTCAGCCAAAGCTTGGATTTAATGTTTATAACGGGTGATAACAAAAAAATAAGAATTGTCATTTGGGCTCATGAAAAAAACACATGTTTGAGAAAATGAAAAGTGATTTATTTCAAATGAAGCTATGAAACGTTTCTACTAAAAAAAAGTCAATGAATAAGGTCCGTTATCAGCTGTTTGACGTAGCTTTGCCATTATGTGAGAACATGAGCGTTGTACAGCATTTAAGTCGATTTTACGAATACAACCTTTGATTCGGTTTATAAGCTGATTATAATTCTTGGCCCTCCAATTGTTTTTGTACACCAACCAACTCGTATTGACAAAAAAAAAATCTTCAATAGGGCGACACGGAAGCAAGTTTGTTAAATGGCGGTTTTTTTCTTCTGTTGGTACATATGGTATATTTAGCTTTTCCAAGAAGGTTAGTGTTTTCTTAGCATAATGCGATGATGCTTTATCCGGCCAAAACACGTAGTTTGAACACGTTTGTTTTTGGTACACTTCTTGGTTGATAGCTAAACAGCTAGGCTTAAACCATGGCTTAGAAATTCCTCTTTCCAATATGGCGATATACAGCATCGCTTTCTGTTCTGTTCGCTGACTTATCGAATCTTTGTTGTTGAACGTATTATGTAGCAATCAAAGTCCTTTTTGTTTATTACTTCGGCTGGTTTTCCACAACCCCTCTTCCGAACTGTTGTCAAGGATGCCAGAATACGATAAACAGTAGAAATTGGTAAATTATCTGATTTGAAATGATCCACCGTAAACTTTTTCCCATGATTTTTGTGTGTTTTGAAGAACTGTACAATGTGCTCACGAGCTGCTTCAGGCTTTGATGCCATTTTAAACACAAATGAGCATGTAAAAACAAAATAAAGAATTCTGTAGTTTTGCGGAGAGAGACAACATTTATTTCCTTAAGCTGTCTCTTTTTTGTGGCCATTTGTAGTTTGGTATGAGAGAATTTAAGCTGTTCTAATTTTTTAGTTATCACCCGTTAAGAGGATACATTTTATATATTTATTACAATTGGCTTGGATGCTCTCAATGTGATCTTTAAAAGTTAATTTTTGGTCAAGTACTAATCCAAGATATTTCACTTGACTTAACCAAGAAATTGGAACTCCTTTATTGTGACTATGTGACTACTGCTAGGTTTCAAAAAGGAAGCTCTAGGCTTATGTGGGAATATTATAAGATGAGTTTTAGAAGCATTGGTAGAACTCTCTTTTTTGTAAATAAGAAGATGAAATATCTAAACTTTTCTGCACTCTGCTGCAAATAACACGAAGACCTTTAGCGGAAAAAAATTGTGACAACCCTGTGGCAAATCAGGGAGGACTGAAGTGAAAATAGGCTGGCTCTACTCCAAATAATTTAGTCAATTCATATTTGATCTGATCCAGGGATTCACCACTGGGAAGACCTTCCAAGACAACCTTGAACAAACGTTCAGCGTTGGTGTCGTAAGTGAAAAATCTGTGTTGCTTCTCAGTAAGATACTTGAGAAGACGTTTGAATCCGTCCAAGGTTTCAGTCAATGCACAGCATTCACCCCGACGGCCAATTTACTGTGAAAACTTGAATTCAACGTAGTTCAAAAGTTCCATCCGAAGAGCTTGGAAATTGGAAGTGGTTATCACAATAGAGGGGACCTTTTCGTTTTTGGCATTATGCCGGGAATGTTTAGTGGAATTTTGCCTGCAATATTGGTCATTCTCATCATCCGTCAGCACATCAAATTGATTGCTCAAATGAATTTCATCAGAAGGGAGATCAAGAGATTGTCTATTTCTTTTACGTTTAGACGCCATAGCGGCTGACGAAAGTTTCTCCAAATCGACTTCCAAGTAGATTACTATAAGAATCCGAAGGATTGAACAGGAATTTTCCAAATCGATATCCAAGCAGGATTACCTCGGGTAGAGTCCAAACAAAGATCGAAGAGGAATAAGAATCAAATAAGATAGATAATTTGCAGGTAATACTTAGCAATGAGAAGTGCTGTTTAACACTTCCATCAGCAAAAATCAAATAGATATGCATTTCAAGAGAGCACGATACGGACCACAGCGGTTGATTGAAAGTCACACAAGCCTTTATCATGTTGGCAATCGTATTGTGAGTGACTAAAGGAGGCATCCTCAAATACTTAATCTCTCATTTATATTTTGTTGATAAATGCCTCCAAATTACTAATATAGGACCTAATTCTACACTTGCTAGTCATATCAACATTCTACTAAACATATAGATCAATAATCTAACGAATTGCTTACCATAATTCACAGAATACTGGACGGTTGTATTCAATATTACGTGATTTCAAGTGGTCAACTGTGCAATATCTGCTTAAATTTCAAGGCTATATTCGGCAATGGTGTGAAATCAAACGATTGCTTAGATCGAAAGAATGCTTCTTTAGTGTATTATACTAAGACTCGGCTGAAGAAACCATCGCAACTTACCGATTATATATTAACCTGGGTACATTTTCACTTAGAAGCCAGGTGAGCTTAAAGCTAAACTCCTGTAGAAGCAGGTACTCCAGTGCTTACTCGTTGATGTGTCTTAGGTTATAACTTGTAAAACCATGTGTTTTCCTTGAGTAAAGTTGAATCCCGTTGTTTGTCGATCTCGAGGCTCTCTGCATGGTTAAATACGGTTCGTAAAATCGTGATGTCCTCCGTCGATAGTGGGTGGTCCTCTAGCTTGAGCTTGAGCTTGAGCTTGATTGACCGCCCACGGTTGCTACTCTGTTACTGCCAGATAAGCTGTAATTACACAGAGAACCAATAGACGATGCTTGGGACTAGCAATCATCCTCAATGTGTAAAAACTGGTGATCTCAAACTAGGCAATACCAGCGCCGGCCGCGCCCGAACACAGGTCAAGAAAGGAAGGGGTAGGAATGTGTTGACGTGACACTCGCTTTGATGGAAGCCGAGAACACCTCTGCACTTCCACGAGGAATCACTGGGATGTTGGATAAGAGGGTTGGGTTTGCAGCAGGGTTCGTTTTGGTAAACGATAAGCTGAATTGATATCCTAACGATCATATAACGCGAAGGAGCTTGGGAATAAACCCACGGTCTTCTGCTCAGTAAGCAAAAACGTTTGCCACTAGGCAGACGAGCACCTTTTTAATCACCGAGTTGCTGTTATTACCATGTAGTCATATTAACAAATTAAACGATTGACGAATCTTGATTGTGGATGGGCCTGAGAATAGACTCATGATGTTCTGCTCAGTAAGCAAAAACGGTTGCTCTAAGGCCACCGAGCCCCTCATATCACATAATACCGTTGCTCAAATTTGTGTATCTATTCAAACCCGGAACCAACGACAACAACGAGTTTCGCAAAATACACGATACACAAGCGATTTTACCATACATCTCTTTGATATGTAAGGACCTGGGACCGCGTTTTTCTGCTCAGTAAGCAGGCCACTGTAACCGACGATCTTTCAAATCCGAAAACTAAAAACTACGAAAAAGTACTTAGGCCTTCATTAAGTTCCACTTTCACGCGACGTACAATTTTTCAATTTGCTCTTTACGTATTGTTCAGGCTAGGCCCTTTTCAAAATTTACGCGAGAAATACGCACAATCGTCACCTACCTCGCAAAACTGGTTCCAAACGACAACAAAGGCATAAGCAACGATGGATTGTTGAATTTTGCTGGCTCCGGTGGTGTAGTGCACAGCCAAAAAATGTAATATCGATCAACGCAATTCAAGCTGATGTATGAAATAATGATGTAATTGTAATTTTGTAATTTATCAGCACACACCCTGGTCGACCACTGTAAACCAATCTGCCGTTCAGCGTTTTCGGTTTTTGTTTCTGGATCTTTAGTTGCCTCTGTGATATACTTACTTGCGGCATACTATTTTGGGAGTGTACATGAGCGTGTACCATGTACGGTAGCTCATCTCTCATCGTGATGGTGGGACATAGTAGACAAATTAGAGAGAAAACAAGGAGGTATTAGTATTAGTTATATGTAAACAAACAAAACAAAAGTTAGATAATGCGGCACTGTAACTACTACTATTTTAGAGGTATGATTCGTCATGTTAAACTCAATGTTTCAATTGAGGCAA